AAACCCCGATGAAACACGAAGCACGAGTTTTTGAAATTGCTTCTCAATCGTGCATCAGCCGAGAAAAATGAAAAAATTCTGACTGATTTTGGCATCAGTGGAGTTTGACATTTTATCAAGCTCTAGGGTTTGATATTTCATCAAAGTATAGTGGAAAAGCCTCTGTCCGGTGTTTTATCGGGGTTTCTAAACCCACACATGTGGCCAAATTGGCGTATCGTGATTGGTTTGTAACTTGATGAATTATGAATGAGTTTGAGAAGGTAACTTCAGTGAAATTGGGTATCCATTATAACTCAAAATTCCACCCCTTGGGAGCAAAGACATCATATACAATTTGCATTACATAATTATCAAAAACCTAACCTAGCCAAGGGGCCTGGTTCATCCCCTCCACCCCACACTCCAGCAATTATAAACTTTGGCTTTCACTCCCCAAGATCCCAATAATGATTCTCTTTACTTTCTTCAATACAATTATTTTGATGTTATTTTGGTTATATCAACCAAGAGAAAATTGTAAATTGGCCAGTACAAAGAGTTAAAAAGCTGATATTTTGAGCCTTAGCCCTTTGCCATTTGCTCTAATGAAGGGCTAACACTCAAAATGTCACCTTTTTAAGTCTACAGTGGGCAATTTAAAATTTCAACTCAGTTGTTACCCCCAGCGACGTAGCACCACAGTTTCTTTTAGAAACTTCTCGCCTTATTATTTTGATGTTAATTTGGAGAATTTTGGTATTTTTCTTAATTCTCATCACTCTTCCGCTTGATATTGTGTCAATGATGTAAGGAGAAATTGTGGCTGGGTCACCAATGGGAGTCAAAGGGTTAAAAACGATGATCGTTGACAGCAGGGCTCGACACTGACGGTAGCCCACTAGCCACAGACTAGTAGAAATTCAGTTTTGGCTGGTGGTTTTCAATTTCCACAAGCCAGTTTGGCTAGTGAACAGACTGAAATTGTCGTAACATCTAAAAACATCTAAGATGTCACTAGCCACTTGGCTAGTAAGTTGAAAAGTTAGTGTCAAGCCCAGGACAGGTGTAATCAATCAAATGATATCAGCAAAGCTATCAATATTTAAAATGTTTTGTTTCCCAATGCCTAATTGCTAGGCTGTTAACATTCTATCATAAGTTTTTTTTTCAGTTTTTGTTTTTTAAAAGAAAGTTGGTTGGTTAGGGAATTGAAAGAAAAGTTTTTGAGGATAGTATAACTCACAACTGACCTCCATCTCATTTTGTGGTGAATTTTCTCTAGAATTGGGACTGCTTTCTCTGTTGCAAGATGTGTAATGGAAAAGTCACCCCACAGTATGCTTGTGGGAGGCGGTGCTCAAGAGTTTGCCCATATTCATGGGTTCCCAGTGGAATCAAATTCAGCTTTACAGACACAGCAGTCAAAAGAAGCATTTAAAGTGTGTAGGGGTTTCTGAAATTTTAGACCTGTAACTAATTTCTCTTGACAATTTTACCATTTATCAAATATTATGGTCCCGGAACTTAGTAAAAGGTGGCCATGACCACTTAGTAGAGGTGACAGCGCAATAGAGGTGAAAATTATAGTAATTAAGAGGAAACAAATTTGGGACTTGTAATTACTAAGGAAATTACTAAGGAAACTACTAAGGAAATGTTTAGCCACTAATGGAAGACCTAACAATAAGATCTTGGGATTTGAAGAGTTCACATCACATGAACAATAAGTTTTCTGCAAATCATTAAGTCACTAACACTGCTACCTGCCACGTCCTCTCCAGAAACAGGATGCTATGCTGACACAGATGATTGTAAATCTTGGTCCAGCACTATAAAAACTCTCTGCCTTTACCAGTGTTCTTACTATAATAATCATTGTTAATTTACAATTACTATATTTGCCCATCTCTAGTAGAAATATCTTGAAAAGGCAGATGAAGAAAGGGGAGGCCATGATACCATAGGTGAGAAATTGCTGCTTTTGATCAATGTTTTGAATAAATTCTCTTTTGATTAAATAATCGCAGATTATGTCTTTGTTTAGCTTTGTTAAGGTTTTGCCCCAGCTCTCTTTTTATAAAATGAGAGCTTTTTATTTTCAGACTATGTATCCAGCTTCAGATAAGTTAAACTTTGTTGTTGATTTTAGTCCTTGCTCCAAATGCTTTTCTCCACATTGTCTGGTTTTGGTCCCTTTTGGCTCCTTCCTCCCCTCCCCCCCTCTGACAAAAATTAAATTACACTTCAGCTTAGTTGCACTGGACATTAAGAGTTGATTTTCATTTGGCTGTGGTGCTATTTTGTTTGTTTTAGTGGGGAACAGACTAATCAGGGGGTTTCAAAACAAGCTGGCGACAACCTGAGTTCCGCTGGCTACTTGATAACATGTCGCGGGTTACTGTAGACAGAATAATTCCTTTTGGTCCTTAGAGGACTTTTCTCAGTCGCGTACTTTTGCAGATTCAGTTGCCTACTTCAAAACATTTTGAAACCCCATTTTGAAAATTTGTGAAATAATGAGCAATGGGCTAATCAATGTCTTTTTTTGTCCTGTTTTTCTATGAAAGGTATTTTGGCTATGGACTCAAAATGCCATATTGTTGCAGGTAAACTTCATAACATACAATTAAATGGTAGCATGTGAAGAATTATTTACAGTCATTCCCCGGTTAGCTCAATTGGTTAGAGTGCCGGATTGTGTTGTGCAGGAGGTCAAGAGTTCAAGCCCTGGCCAGACCAACACTCGTGGTCTTAAAATAACTGAGGAGAATTTGCTACCTTTCTATAATATCAAGATATCTCGGATAAGGACGAATAAACTGTAGGCCCCGTCTCCTGCAGGGCTAGATTACTGTGTGGTGGATGTCCTCCACTGGGGTGGGTTGGGTGGGTATTTAGGGTGTAGAAACCTAGTAGGGGACTTAAGAGTCATATTGTTTCTACACCTACCTTACAGTAAATCTCTAAATCAAAAAAAAAAAAAAGTTAAATCAATTATAAACTAACTATTAGATTATACTTTGGAAAAGTTGATTTACTGGTAATTTTGTAAAGTGCTATGGATGTAAAATACAATATTTTTAAGTGTTTATTATTATAATAATTATGTTACTGTTAGAAACCATTTAAACCTTTAAACCATGTGAGTGCCTACATCTAAATTCTCCATTCAGTAACACTGCTTGGCGCCTTACTTTTGCTCTTGGGTGACTCGGAAATTTTAGGTTTTTCATACATAGCATATGCTGGGCACCCTGGGTTTCACAGTTTCAGAGCACTGGGCTCCATTCAATTTTCCTTAGAGCACAGCCTTGCTGCTGAATCATTCATGAGAATAAAGGACATGGCTGCCACTCCAAGAAGCTTTGGTTTGTTAAATGACTTCTCCTTGTCAGTGGCAAAGGAAATGTGAAGCAAATGAATACTTGGTGTAAAGGGTTGAAAAAAGTGAATTGAAATGAATTTTATGACCACAGGTGTTTCCACAAGTGGGTTTGCCTTCAAACACCCAGGTAGGGTTGGGGATTCACCCCTCCCAGGGTCAGGATTATATGCTGACGATGAGGTAGGTAACTGTGCTGCAATAACAATGCAGCCGTGAGCAACTTGAAGATAATTATTTTCAGCTCGGTGTACTACATGCCAGCATGGGATAACTGTAATCATCAATTTAGTAACAAAGTACACAATGATTATTAATTAAATGCATATATGGCAAGGTAGTCCTGAGCTAAATCTGAGCATCCTAATTGGTTCATAAAAGTGAGAAATTCAAAATTTGTCCAGGTTTTGTCCAAGTGTCGTGTATAAACCACTTATCGGTACTAATCTCACTTGCTCAAGTCATTACTGGGAAATACTGACCACTATTTTTCCATGACCTTTGGTCAATATTCCCTATTATTATATGGCTGTGTCTCACAAGCACTGGGAACTACCGAATTCGCAAATTTGATTGGCTGAAATCAAAATTGAAAGCGGTCTAGATTTTCCCATCTAGACTGGCATCTAGACCGGTCTAGAAAAAAAAAAGGTACAAAGAATATAAAAAAATTGTCATATAAGACACATAATAAACATCCTATTAACTGAGCAAGGTTGGTCTGTATAAGAGAATCTTGACCTTGGTTACTGGTACAGACCTCACTGTGTTTGGTCTGTACTGGCGACCTCAGTCAAGATTCTCCCATACAGACCTCCCACTTGGTTAATAAGAACTAATTTTGGCCCTCGAGTTCAGTTAGTAAGAAGTTATGACAGAAACTGAGACAAGAACCACCAGAATAGAAGCAACATGATATTTCTACAATAGCTGACACTTAGTAACTGACAACTGCAGTCTAAGAACAAGAACAATAGCACCGGTGGCAATTGTGGCCCTGTACACCCTTGGGCTAATATCAGTTTGCATATTCTCCATACTGTTCTCTATACATTTCATAAGGTGCTGACAAGGAGAATTTGTTTAATATTCAAGAGCTTATTTAGTTAGAGATCATTTCCTTTATTCTTGTGACCTTAATGCATGACTCAGCGGTGATGTTTTAAGGAGAAATAAGATGCTAGGCTCAGCTAACTTACCATTTTTAAATTCCCATCAAATACCAAAGTTATTATTTTCTTTGAGTTCAACCCTCCTCTGTCATTACCTACTTAGAAATAAATATATCTTATTAACCAAGCGCGAGGGCTGTACTGGGAGAATATTGGCCCGAGGTCTTGACAGTACGGAACGAGGGCAGCGAGGTCCGTACAAAAAAGATGGAGGGCTGATATTCTTCCAGTACGGTCCTGAGCAAGCTTGGTTAATAAGAGATTTATTACATGGCTGAAGTTCAAAGGGACACATGTGCGGTGTCATTCAGGACCATTCGGGACAGTGCTTGGTCCAATACTTAGAGAATATTGACCGGCAATAGAGCATTTTGATTGGTTGATTTTAGTTATTGGCCCTCTGACAGCCCGAGTTGAGTAATAATTAACAATTATTCCACGAGCGTGCGTTGGATATGAGATGATAGATAGCCAGTAAGGCGCATAGCACCGAGTTGGCTATAATCATCTCATATCCAAAAAGTGCGAGTGGAATAACTGTGTTATTAAAAATGCCCCGAAGAAATTATTATTTTGTAAGAAGAAACCGGATTTTCTAGCTCCCTTTTGATTTTAAGCTGACGCGTACGCTTACCATATTTGTAGATTATGGTATATTGGCTCATAAACCATAATGGCTAAGCCAATATAAAGTCTTGAATGGCATCATCCAATGATCCAGTTTTTAATAATTAACAATTATTCGCCGAAGGCGGGGTGAATATCATCGAATATCGTCAGATTATTCAACAAAATTCACTGAACCTGAGGCGCTCTACCAATCAGATCGCTGGAAACTCTTTGTTCCGCTCTGAAATTATACTAATATGTGATATGAAATAAATTATGTCTCTTCTATGATCTTGTGATGCAGTAGGAAACAACAAATTGCTCTTCAGTGATGAAGTGCTTTTTATACCATAATGATGGCTGAAAAAAAGAGTCTGTACGTGTAGAAGTTCAGGCTTTGTCTGAGACTAAAAATTTATGCAAGTTGAGTCTTACAACTAGCCAAACTTGCAAATTAAAATATTTCATTGACCATTAAATAAGGCAAGCAAGTTTGTAGCTGTTGGGCCCTGAATATGCATCATTTATTTTAACTATATTTTATGCATATTTTAACCATATTTTATGCATATTTTAGGTATATATTTTTTCGTATTTTATGCATGTTTTATGCATACTTTATGCATATTTTATGTATATTTTATGCATATTTTATGCATATTTTATGCATATTTTACCCTGAGATAAACTTTTCAACCTTTTTTTTTTTCTATTTTTCAGATTGGAGCAGCAGCAGGTATGTTTGAAAATGGTCTGAGGACGTGAATTGTGCATTATTTTAAATATGCTGTCTCTGGTTATTAAATTAAATGTGGTTTTCAGAGAAGTTCTTGGTCTGCTCATGACACCTGTGTGAATTAAGAGGCACTAATACCTTGGAAATTAATTAAAGATGCAGATCAGTTCCTTGCTAACTGTCTTAATATGATTGGCAGCTACTGGTGATGGCGACAATATGATGAGATTCTGCCCTGCTTTTCATGTTGTTCAACTCATGAAGCAGGCATGTACATTTTTATTCTCTAACTTAGAAGCTGATAGTTATAAGTCTGTAGTACGAGTCAAAAACAAAAACTGGGAAAAAAAATTGCTTTTAGCATGCAGCAGGGAACTCTTGGATTGACGCCTACTTTTCAAGTGCCTTTCTCGAGGAGCTCCAGTGGAGGGTCGAGGTCATTCCAAAAGTTCCCTATGGCGCACTAACATTGATTTTATTTTCATTCAATCTGATGTTTTTTTTTTGACTAGCATGATGGACTTTACCCAAAAGAAGGAACTACTTGTAGTCTAAGAAACTGATTGAAGAAAGTAGTGATCCAAAACCGATATGGCCATGCAACTGTATTACTAGACAAAAAACATACAGATTGCTTGTAGCATCCTAATGGCTGAAAGCAACAAGAGTTTTAAGTGCAGCTAAGGCCTACTGGCACAGAGCAAATCCATAATTATGACAACTTCAGAGTTACCTTGAAAAAGGGAGACCAGTGGCTATGCAGTAACTGTTATTATTTTTACCACAATTGGCAGTAATGTTGCAATCTGATTAGCCAATTTTTTGTTATTGATAAAAGTAAAGACAAAGCTAATCAGGCCAATATGTCACGCAATGCGTCATGCACTGAAAGAACTGTACTGTTTAGGACAATCACTTGGCCAAGCCTTGTAAGTCCATAACATTTTGACCACACTGTGACTACAAACATGGTCCACGCTAAACCATTGTGTTCGGAAGCAAAACGGATATCAAACAAACACGTTTATTTGTAACTCGGTAAATGGTAAACTCACGGTAAACGTGGTAAATACCAACGACCACCAAACAAATTGCCAGTTGAAAAACTCAAAACTTTTTACTCCTCTTAAAGAAACTTGCACATGTCAAAAAAAAAAAAAAGTCTACATGATTTGTTGATGACGTTTAAACTTAAATATTCTCAAAGCACAAGTGCGCGAGTCACGTGCGCACAAGTTTGGAAACGTCTTAACATTATGATTTGTTAATCTTACAAATGCATCATAGGTGTACAAATGCATCATAAGTCACAAACTTGGTACTCATAACTCTGATTGGGTATACTGCTTCTTTCAGTAAACAAAGGGTGTGGAATGGTACTGCAAAGAAATCAAGAATCTTGCTGATATTTATTGCTATGTCGTACTCTCGTCAGCACTTTTGATAATTAAGTCGTAAAGTCTCCAGTTAGAGATAGTGCATGAATTTTAGTCATGAAGTCTCATGTTTTCCTTAAAAATTCTCAGGATTCTCAAAACTCCTTAACTAACTGAATGAAAATTGACACTTTCTTTTAACCAGGGCCATTCTCCACAAGAATCTTGTGAGCTAGTGGTCAAAGAAGCCCAGCAGAAAGCAAAAACAACTACAAAACCATTTGAGATGGCCTTGATTGCTATCAACAGGAAGGTAAATACTGTAGTGACTATTGTTACCATGGTCCAATTCCTTGCAATTAAGTATAAAGCAAAAAAAAAAAATAAAAAAATAAATAAATAAATAATAAAATGGACTGGAATGAACTGTTAGCCTGCAGGCAGGTCTTGATTTTTTAGTGCTTCTGCATACTTTTCCACCTGCAGAAAAAGAGGCCTTAGGCAATGCCAGCTGGCATGAAGTCTGTATGCCAAGTGGTCATGCACTGATATAATGGGCATTTTCAGGCAAGTGCCAGGTCAAGCAAACCTTTCCCCTACTTGTCTCAAATCTTTCTGAGGACTTGTTTTTAATGCTCCTCCCGCAGTGCTAATGAACTTTGTGTACAGTAAGCCAAGGAGTTCAATAAAGTTGTCCACCTGACTAGTTTCTTTTTTTCCTTTAATTTTTTTTTTTTTTTAACCTTCAGGGCGATTTTGGAGCAGCTGGCACTGTGACATCATTTAAAGATGAAAGGCATGATACCTCATACACAGGATTCCCATTTGTAGTATGGACTGAAGAAATGAGTGCACCTGAAATCAGGGTCCAACCTCCTGTTTACCTTTAGTCAAGGTTGTGGCTCTTTTTCCAGTTTTTTTCCATATCACAATTAAGTGGCTTATATCATCCTGGGAGTGTAAGGTGCAGAGGTGGAACTCTTTCCCCCCCTTCCATGCAGTTGGCATCATTAAGATACAGGGGGGGGAGGGAAGTAAAGTAAAGAAGTGTGTCTGAAACAAGACTGTACAATTGCTATAATGAAAAGCAAGTGCAACACAGACTTCAGTTTTATAATATAGATTCTTTTGTTTGCAAACGTCTTTATATACAGTTACAATCTTTCTATATACTTTTGGTAAAACAAAGGGGAAATTTAAGACAGCACTCTTTAAACAAGCATGTTACATGCACGTAACTTTAACTTGCAGTAGAGTGAATAAAATAGGTAAAATTGTTATCATATGAAATTTAAGTTGCTTGGTTTGCAGACCATAGACTTGTTTGTCATATTTGTAAATTTTTCCTGATGGTAACTGTTTAAGCCGGATAAATCAAGTATTGAAGTAAGTTGTTAATAAAAATAATGTCATTTGTATCTTTTTCAATCTTCCTGTCTTTCTTTACATGTACACTGTATGTGCTCTTCAACTGCATGTTCAATGTGTCAAAGGGCCCTCAAAATGTTTGTACTAACTACCCTACTTGGTTGAATCACTGTCACAACTAATGAATTTTAAGCTCAAACAAGACTGTGCAAAAGTTCACACTACGCAAATGTAATTGTTACTAAATGCTTTCCATTATACATGTACTTTTGGATTTTTGAAGCTATAACTTCCTTTGAGCACTTGTCAACAAGGCTCATACTTTTAGGGGCAGTGCCGCATTGAAGATGCATCATAGTTAACTACATACTCCCAACATAATTTTCTGTTTATTTAGTGGTAAAGTTTTCTGGCCTGCATCAGTAGAGCTTCCACAGTTTTAGCACAGCAGTTCCTTTCTGCACATCTCAGTTTAATTTTTTAAACGGCAAGTGTCTAGGAGAATTGTTGATACTTCCCTCCCCAGCATTTTGTCACATTTCCCAGATGGTTAGCTATTACCCATTTTAACTCCTGGGTAGAGAGATACAGAGAAAGGAACACAAGGAACACAAAACAGGGATGCCTGCAAAGGCACAACCTTGGATTGTTTTTTTTATTATAAGTCAGCTTTAATGATAAGGCCAGTGGACGTTTAATAGTCACTTTACAATGGCTAATTCTATCACATTGGTATGATAAGGCAGTGACATCCCACTTACCCCAGACACAATCTGCTTCAATGTGTAAATATTTTATGCATCAGAGTCTTATTTTAGAAGCCAAATCTTTTCTTATCGTGTCTACTTCTTTTTTCTCTTTTTCATGTCTCAGTCTCAATATTTCAAGTATATTTGTAATTTCCTGGTCCTTGTCAGCTTGAGTGCCACCCATTCCTGGACTTCCCCTCCTCCTGTTGATCATCTGTTTTGGTCTAGGAACATTCTTAGCATAGTTTAAGGCCTGAAAGATAAACTGTGCAGTTAAGAGAGAGGAATTCTAGCCTTTGAGAATACTCATGTGGGCTTCGCAATTCCAGTTACATAGCCTGTATGTTTTTAACTGATGAGTGAGGTCCACAAGAGATCTGGTATCACCAGACCTCACATGCTTGCTAGCTTAAATTTGAGGGATTCATCTCTGGGCTGCATCGCAAGTGACAGCTTTCTCTGAGTACAATTCTTGCATGAGTATGATCCTATGTTACATTTCTCCAGGCCTCAAGGGTCCCATCACTGGAAATTTGCTACTTACAGCTTGACGTTTGGCCTCTGCCTGTTTGACATGTTTAGGTTTGACTGGCTGTTGAATAGCTCCTTTTCTCTCCTGTTGTTTCTTCATGGTTGAGTGCTGGGCCCTCAGCATTGCTGCATACTCTCTTTGCTTGCTGACTTTTCTCATCTAAAAATTGTAGGGAAAGTTGGGGAAATTTTTGTTTGGTAAGTTAATTTGGAAAATGTTAAAGGTAAGTTGATTCTGTATGCAAGTCAAGAGGCCATGCGGCTGGAACTTATACATAAAAAAAGTTACCTATATTTATTGAGGGTGAAATACATTATTACTGGTAGCCCAGTATTTTACCTAATGGCCCTCCCTAACTAAATACTTGAAAATCCTTACTAGCAAGAGGCAGACCAGTGGGTTATTTAAAGAGCACAGCCGAGGAGTTGAACTAGGGGCAACCAAGAACAAATTCAGTAAGTGGCAGGGTGGAGGACTTAAACCTGGGACACTGCATTACAAGTCCAGCACCCTAACCACTTAGCCATGCCGCCTCCAGCTTATCTTCATTTCCTTTGCATGAAGCGACTAGGAGTATTACTACTCCCCCAGGGATGGGATGTCAGTCCATCACAAGGTCCCCCCCCCCAGAATTTCATCAGGCTTTCTTGATAGTCAGCCAGTAACCTTTTATCCTACTGAATGGAGTGAGGCCCAATCATTACTGTGAAGTATCTGGCCAAGAAAACAACACATTACATTATTTTTTAACTTTGATCTGATTGTTAATTCTCCCCTCTGGCTGCTACACATTTCCTAGTTAATTAGTCACAAGAATTTGGTGTTATATTGTTTGGATAACAACTCCTACCTGATAATTATAAGAACTTTTATTACATGTTTGCTGGGTAATATGTGGATATTAGTATAATTTCAGAGCTGAACAAAGAGTTTCCAGCAATCTGATTGGTCGAGCGGTTCCTTATATGACGCTATATAAACCGCTCTGCGCGGTTTATATAAAATGTTAATAAATGTTACTAAAATGTTATGATTTTAGAAATTTCTCTGTTATTCAGCTCTGAAATTATACTAAAACAATTATTCCCCTCAGGTTCCGTGAATATTGTCGAATAATCCCCTCGACTTCGTCTCGGGGATTATTCGACGATATTCACCTCGCCTTTGGCAAATAATTGTTAATTATATGGAGAAGTTTCATGTTAATCCCTTCTGGGAGTTAAATGGCTAACCCTGCCCAGGTCTTGAACCTCAATCTCTTGATGCAGAGTCCTGTGCAGTAACCATGAGGTCAATGCCTCAGTGATGCTCTTAGGTAATTTGGCAATATCAAGTAAGTTGAAATTGTAAATTGGCCACTGTATAGAGTTAAAGAGCTGATGTCCTTAGCTGAGCCTTGTGTGCCACTATTTTGTACTTGTTGCATTTTGACCTGAACTTTGATCAGTCATTGAATGGACACACCCCAACAGGAAATCTATTTCTCAATTACATTAGGGTGTACTAGGGTTATTCCTGAGCACCAGCTGGCTGCAAAATCTGCCAAAGAAATAGCAGTGATGGCCAGCTGGATTTTTGGCTGATAATTGCTTGGTATTAGGCACAACAAGTACTTCTGAGGCATCACACTTACAGTCTTTCACCACCTTTGAGTGGCCTCACTTGAAATTTCAGCCAGCAGTATAATTTCTTAGCTACAACCCTGGTGTACCCTAAGCATGTTTTACATGCTCTCATATTCCCCAAATAAGTAATGTGAGCCCTGCCAGGGCTAATGCACCTGAACCAGCAAATATACCACTTGCCCAACAGCACAGGAAATTGGGTAAATAAAAAGGGCAATTAACAATGTAGAAATCAATCCAGAAAATGGATGGATAAATTTTTAAACCACACAAGGTTATCAAAAAGATTTTGAGTACCCAGACTTTGTACATAATTATAGGCTGCACTATATATTATGCTTCCATGCTGAAAATTGACCCACAAGCTTTAGGAGTAGCTGAAGGGTTTTTCAGAATAGAAAACAATACACTGTTTGCCAACTTATGTTGACAATCTTGACTGCTCCATTAAAAAAATTCAAAAAAAAAAAAAAAAAAAATCCAAAAAAAAAAAACAGAGTTACCTTCTCTTTAAAATCATTGGTGTCAATGTTTGGTCCTAAGCCACCAGCTGCACGCTCAGCTTCAGAGCCAACAAAATTCCTGTAGTCTTTCAAACTGTATGGTTTGTACTGAGACAATGGCTGTTTTACACTGGAATAACTTCCAGATGCCTTACTGTTTCTGTCAATATCTACCATTCTTTGAAAAGATGGAGAACCTGGATTTGCTAAGTATGGTTCAGAAGAAAATGTCCTGTGTAGACTAGATTCTGGGAGTTTGTTCACTTTTTGTAAATTTTGGAAGTCTGTGTTTGAGAAGGCTGACGATAGATAAAAATCTTCTCCATGGAAATTATGTATATTGGAGATGAGTGGTGGGCGTTGATATCCATAAACACCTGGAGGGGCTGACTGGGTAGAAAGTGAGGCATAATGTGTTGGTTGAAATGACCCAGCCATTGCATGTGCCTGTCTTGAGTTTGCCGTAGCATTTTGACATCCTCTGCTATAGCCAACTAGATCTGAGTAATTTGATTCCAAAGGGTTATAATATGAGCCAAAGTTTTGGTTGACATCATAGTAAGGTCCATGCAACTGATTGTGAAATGTGTCGAGCGACTTTTCTGAGTAGCTGTCTCTGAGAAAGTCTTGCTCATTCTCATGGTGAACTGGACTTACAGATTTTTGACTCAAATCATCGCTTACTTTTTGAGAATGCTGTGACTGACCCTCTGAGCCTGAGCCTGAGCCAGACACATTCGCAGCAGCTTCTTCGCCTTGGCTTTTAGATGCTTTGATTTTTTCGACTTTTTTTCTTGTCTTGATTGCATGAACTTGGGCATAGCTAGTCCTCTCGGGAATTTTCTTCCCAACCCTCTCTTTATTTCTTTCTATAATGTGCTGTGGCTTTCGTGGTTTTGGAGGCTTTTCATATTTTTCGCTGGGTTTCGTGTGGTCATTTAGTAGCGGTGTAGAGCTCTTGGGAAAATCCGAAACATCGTCTGAAATCTCAACCTGCGATGACTCGATTTGCATCATGGTGGATTCACCATCTCGCTTGGGTTCGATTGATTCTTCAAGCTTTGAAAACTCGAGAGAATCGTTTAATGAGGACTCCAAACTATCAGTGACCCTTACTGTTTCTTCCTCCCGATTATTAGACGCGACCACACTACGATTAACATCTTCATCCGACGGTTCTTCATCCAATATGGCGGCCAAAACAGCAGGCGACGCAAAGGTCGTTATTTTGTTTTCAACGCTGTTGTTGCTTTGTTCTTCTTCGAAGCTTTCCATTCAACACTCATTGAAACTACCCACAACCCTGTGTGCGGTTTGACAAATCAAATAAACAGACAAACACATTCACGGGAACATTTAGTTTCAATGCACGACATTAAGACTCCCAACAAAACTATCCACAATGCATCAGTCGTTGCCATGGATTTCAATTCAGACAGAGGGAGGGGTGGTAGGGGCACTCTCTTTAAGCGAATACCGTGTTACTGGAGAAGCCTTCTCCTTTTGCTTTGAGTTTGCATTATCTTTGAAAAACCTGGATGCTACACTTAAACGGCAGTATATAAAGCCAGAAAAAAATCTTGTAATGGATCATGGAACGAATGGTGTATTGTCCTCTAGGTAGAAAAGAGAAAATATTAATTTTTTTAACTGCTCAAAGGTTTCCCTTAATTTAGAAAGATTTCTTGAAAAATGGCCGTTCGTTTTTTATTCTCACCGAAAAATCGAGTTTCGCGTTTGAACGGAAAACTCTCTACTTTGGCATAAATGCAAAAAAAAAAAAAAAAAAAAAAAAAAAAAAAAACTAACATCGAATTAGATTACTGCATATTATTAGATTAGCATTCTTACATTTGTGGTTTAGCATTCATTATTGGTGCCAGACTCCGGAAAACCCCGGACACTTCTCAAATCTTCCTATAGGCGGAGAAATAACAAGGGCCCGCAGGCCATCAAGTTGGCACTACTAGAATTGATTCAAGGGGACGGAGAGCCCCTTTCAGATGTGCCCTTTAGGGGCTCCGTGAAACTCGTTTGAGAAGTTCCTCACCAACTTAGACTCATTGCTATGGGCATTGTTTTTAAAAACATATATTTTTAATTGTTTAATCTGGGTTTCCTTTGCGCGACAAGTGATCTGGAAATGGCAACTTCAGAAACATCAATCGTCGCACGAAAATTCCTTAAAATATCTGACTTGATATGACGAAAGAAACTGTTTCATCGCGCACACCATAAAATACTGCTCCTTTAACCGGTCATCGTGGAGAATTTCTTAAGCTGTCGTTTCAAGCTTTTGATCTACTTCAAAGCAAATGAACAAGTGCGACCGCTCGAAATGTCCACTTTAGAAACCCTTTACAGTGACCAATGTACATCAACAACCCAGGTGATAAAATCTGATTATTTTCTGATAGCCCCACCCCCCACCGACACGGAACCACAATTTCTTTGGAACTTACCCCATCTGTTCCGTAAGTTGTTGCTATTATGCAGTTGCCAAATTCGCTTTTCACTACGTTGTTTCTGTAGAAGAGGCGCGATACAAGTGGGTCATGCCGATTAAGCGAGAATCTTAAACCGGCTAAAAAAATTCACAGTTTACTGTTCCAGAGTGTTCTAAAGTGTTTTTGCTTTACTTCGCTGTGATTGGTACAGAAAACTCGCACCACTCTCTCGATTAATCAGATGCAAAACTAAAACCAATCACGAGTTGGTCACCCGCGTTTTTATTTTAAGTTCTTGTTCGCCCTTTCTTCTGACTGGCAATTGTGATTACTAAAGTTTTGGTTTTACAATACTCAGTCGAAAAGAGAGGTCTCGTTGCATTGCAAGTTTGCTCGCGACTAGTTAATCTGCGACTAGTCCGCCTCTACCTCGGCGAGTTGTGGTGGGGGCGAACTTCTTATAATTGATGAAGAAAACTCGCCTTCATGGGAGCGAATTGGAGAGAGGAGAACTGATAAAGGGTGAACTGGCCGGCAGGGGCTGAACTGGTACGGATTGAACTGTTATGGGGTGGACTGGTAAGGAGCGAACTAGTAAAGGGAGGACTGATAAGAGCAATGTTCATTTTCGGAAATTGAAATATTATAACTTCAGTATCAGCTTTGATTTTCCTCTTCATATCCTTCTGTCTTCATGTCGGATATCCCAAGATCGTCTTCCTGTTCCTTTGTTCTTGGATAATGAACTACTTCGAGTTCGGGATCGGGATCCGGAGCATACAAATTCTGCAAAGAGGAAAGGGTTCTGCCTTGAGTCATGATGTAGCAATTAAAAGACTTCCCACAATTTGACTCAGGCGAGTCAGCGGAAATAGATCACATCCATAGAGATGGAAGTAGCTCCGTAAACTGAAGTAGAAATGCTACCAAGTTCGAGAGGTAGATGTTGAAAACTAACAAAAAAATATGACTCTAAACACATGGCGGGGAGCAAAAAGCTCCCATCGTCGCGTGTAACTTGCCATTTGAATTCACCTCGCGCTTGCCAGCACTTCCTGAGGCGTAGACCAGTGCGAGTCTGGCGCGGGGGAAGATGCTGAGAAAAAAAAAAAAAAGACTTTTTTCCCTCGCGCGTAACTTGCATTCCATGGTCAGGTCCTTCACATCTCGCGCATGCCTCGCCTTGCGAGTTGACCTCGCGCTTCTTTCCACTTGTTTGAGGCGGAGAAAGTGTTTATCAAGGACGAGGGTAGTAAGGAAAAGAAAAAAGCTTCTCCTATGGCGAGTAACTCGCCAATGGAGTCCGCCTCGCGCTTCCCCTAAGTACTTGGAGCGAAGAAAGAGCGAGTCACGCTAATGGTAGGAGCGCAAAAGAAAAGTTTCTCTCGCGTGTAACTCGACTATAGAATTCGCCATGTGCTTGCTTCTACTCGCCCGAATATGCAAAAAATAACAATATTACGTCTTTCCTTGGGGTTAGGGCTAAATTTGCAAAAATGGACCATGCATTACTTGCTGCCTGGGCTTAAGCATAATTACCTGAATGTAGCTGTTTCCTGCCGGGTCATCCAGTGTGATCAGAACATCCATTTCTTCACCATTGATTATCTACGTGATAAATTAGTACAACGAGGCTTTGATTATACACAGATTAAAACTTAAGGTAGAGTTGATGCAGGTACACGCAGGCATTATAACCCAATACCTCTGGAAGAGCGGCTGATGGAGAGATGAAGTTTTTTAAGACTTGGGCAGGAAAGAGGAAACTAAAGAGAAGATAGAGATAGAGATAGAGAAATATTTTTGCGGCCTGTCACGAGCCTGGGGCAAAGAAAAAATTCTGAGTCTCCAGGTGGCATCGGACCGCAGACCTTCGGATTTCGCGCTCCGATGCTCTACTACTGAGCCACGGAAACTCTGTGATGAGCAAGGCCTATTTCGAAGTTCATAAGAATCTCAGAAGGTGGAGATGTTGGTAAAGGCGAGAAAAAAAAAAGGGAGCACAGTGAGAAGAGGACTGGAGACTAGAGAGGAGGAGAAGAGCAAGGAGAGTTACAAGATAGGTTGAGATAAAAGTAGAGAGAAATGAAACGGAAGGAGTGAGTTGGAAGTTAAAAGGAGGGGAGGGACTGGAGTAAATATGGGATAGAAGATAAAAAAAAAGAGAAAAAAAAGTGAAAGAAAACATGGAAAAGGGAGGTACATTAAGAATGGAAAAGAACAGAAGATAAGAGGAAAGAGCAAGGGTGAAATAGGTAGGGGTACTCAGGATAAGAATGGAGAGGGAGGGGAGAGAAGGGCAAGAGAGAAGAACAGAGGTAGCCTGATCCAGGCACCCTGTCGGTGCGAACGAAGGAAAATGCGAGTGTGAGGAAAACATGGGTGAACCAACAGAAATCTCAATGCATTTTCCTTCCACTTTTTACGCATATCCCCCTTGACTAAGAACCTTGCACAGGCTAGGATAGAAGCGAATAATGAAAAAAAAAAAATGAAATGATGAAATAATGAAAAAAATGAAAAATGAGAAAAAAAAAAACAGTGTGATAAGAAAAGAAAACGAATATGGGGGAAAATTGAGGAAAAGAAAAAAAATGGCAAGGAAAGAGTAAGAAAAACAAAAGAAGTAAAGCGGGAAAGGTGGAAACCTTAACCCTTTGACTCACCGAAAAGATTAACCTGTAACTTCTCCCTATAACTTCCATCTATTATCCAGCAAACAGGTAATGAGAATACTCAAACTTATCAGCTAGAAGTTGTTATCTTGATCTAACAGTAAATTCTCATTACGAGTTTGGAAGGAAATGTATAGCAGTTAGTGAGGAGAATTAACAATCAGATCTATGAAGTTAGAAGGTAAATGGATGAGAAAAAGGCAAGAAAGGGAAACGGAAGATGAAACGGAAGATGAAATAGAAGAGCAGAGGGAGGGGAGGGGAGGGGAGGGGTAACGACTAAAAAGTGAAGAGGGGGTAATAATGACTGTTACCTTGTCCAAGCCGGTGATAAATTCTTTCATCTTCTCACTGAATTCATCCGGGCTGTCTCCAAAGCCAAAAGGATTCAGGGACTTCAGCTGTTACAGGAAATAAAAAAAAAAAGAAGACAAAATAAAGAAATTGAAAAAAAGAAAAAGGAAAAAGAAAGAAAGAAATATGGCACGATTCTGACCGGAGGAAAACGATGTGGAGTACTCAGTTTGATTGGGATCAACCATGCTGCGATCTCGCGAGCGACACAAAAAATAATTTTTATAAGATTAACTGTTCATATACCTGGTCTTTGATGTTACACAAAAGGCCTTCTAATGTTGTGAATCGTCCACCCAAAGTACCGGCTGTAGTCTGGAAATCCAATGATGGAATATGTACTTCACAGGTCTCTGACTACAATAAAGATAGATGTAAGATCACGGTGGAATCAGTTAAGACAACCATCATCGTTTGGCAGATGGAAAGATTACTTTTCCAAATTTTAATATGTTTTTAATCTATTTTAACAAACAGATGTTAACAAACAGATTCTATGTTACCGAGCGTCTGTTATCATAGAGATAAAAGATGGCATCAAAATGTGGTAAGAACATAAAAGATTGTGCAAGAGGAGCAGCCGAGCGTGTGCACGAGGTGCAGCCGAGTGTGTGCACGAGAAGCAGCCAAGTGTGTGCACGAGGAGCAGCCAACTGTGTGCACGAGGGACAGCCAAGTGTGTCAATGATGTTCTTATCACACTTTGACGTCTTTGTGATCCATGACTGAGAGGACCAAAGGCAACATGGAATCCAATTGATTTATATGATGAAGACCTCATCATCTATGCGTTTGCCCTTCGATAGCTAATAAGCGAGAACCAGTCAAAATGCTTAAGGTTACCCTGCACCTCCAGGGGTGTCTCGCGTGTAAGTGATGTAGCGCGTCCGGTTTAAACAGTAGATATCTAAACCCCTATATCAAATTAAAGCTTATAGGACTGGCTATCAGACTATACCAAAAGTGTTGAAAAAAAAAAAATAATTGTCGAATTTTTCACGACGTCTAAATGCGAGCGCCTGAATCACCTTTTAAGAGCTACAAGTCAAAGGGAATTTGTTCGATTGCTATCAAATTTTGACAGTAGCTAGTTTTACATATAAACAACAAAAAGGGGTCTCAGAATTTTTTTGTTTCTAAACACTTTTTTTTTCAAGAGCGATTTTTGTACGATCAATCCACATTTTTTTTAATCCTATTTCAAAAATGTTCTGTAACTTTTCACTGAAATTGAATATGGCAAATCGCAGACACGTTTTTTAAAGCGCTTTGGCCCCGGAAACGGAGGAACACATTAAATAAGCGAAAAACAAAATTCGCTTTGACATGTAACGTTCAAAAGGTGATTCGGGCGCTCGCATTTAGAAGTCGTGAAAAATTCGACAATTAATTTTTTTTCAAAATTTTTGGTATAGTCTGATAGCCAGTCCTATAAGCTTTAACTGATATAGGGGTTTAGATATCTACAGTTTTAACCGGACGCGCTACATCGCTTGCACGCGAGACACCCCTGAAGGTGCACGGTAATCTTAATAACTCAGCTTGTTATTAAAAAAGGTGTTTGGAGCGGGTGCAATTTCTAAGAAGTAATATTCACTCCCCCCACCCCAGCCCCTCTCCTTATTTTTGACCGTCCTCACCACCTTGGTACAAGTTACTTTCTCTCCCCAGCCTTCCGCTGCCATTAAAATCAAATATGGCGGCCATTCTTTCACTGAGTAAATACTGGGCACTCGCTCGCCCAAATTACACCTGCTCTGCAGGCTAGCTCAAAATTGATTTCGTTGGTTATTATATTCTTAATGGTTTATCAAGTAAGTTGTTATTTCGTAACCGTCAAAGTAGAACGTTACATGAAGCGTTGCGGCATAGAATAATCAAATTAGTTGTGCGAACAGTGATGTAACTAGTCTGGTATTTCCAGGGCGTTAAGCGCGTAGCGACACAGAAGCACGATTGTCAAGTAAACCCACATTTGATAGGAAATTGGTGCCCACGAAGCGTTGTAGGACGTGAGCCGGTAAGCCTTAATTCCCACACGGAATTTCGTATCTGGGTGTGGATTTCCTTAGCTGATAAATGTAGCGAGTTTTGTTACCTTACATTACAATGGAATGGGGTGGAAAAGATAGGACGTAGAACGTTATTGTCAATAATAAAGCCTAAAACAAGTGAAAGTATACAGTCCAAAATTACTGAACCAGCGTGTGCAGGAGTCCTCAGTAACGTAAGTGAGAATTTCTACGAAATAGATGAATTCCTTAAATATGTGGAAAATTTCCCTTGATGAGTTTCGTTATCTTATTTCTGCCATAGATAATTGAAACCTCATACTCTTCAATCACCATCGCAAAGGAAAATTTCAAATGTAAGCTAGCGCACCCATTTGTTACGAGAATTCCAGAATGTTTGCTTTTGGGATCTGGATATTTAAGTTTAGGATCCAATTTTAGAAAA